AATGATTAGTTTTTTCCTATCCAATTGCACTCAATTTTAGGTTAAAGGGACACTGTGTAATATTTAGTGCCATCTAGCGTTGAGATCTTATATTGCAGTCTACTCATGTACGGTGGCCTTACAGTTGAGGAGCACTGCCAAAGACAGAGTTCCTCGACTCTCAATTATTCTCCAGAAAGCCAAGGAAAGAATACTTTAGTTTGATTAATGACCGGATCTCTCCAAACGGCTCAGGCACTTGACAGTCGTGTGGAGGCGACGTGTAAACTAGACAGCTTTCAGACACTGCACCCGCTGCACAGAGGCCCAACTGAGTTTTACCATGGATCTATTATAATATTTAATTTTACAAACGCGGTGTGAAGAGAAGAGACGCATGAAGGATTAACATCTGAGGGAGCTTAAAACTACAATGATCAAAGAAGCAGGAGATATACACAGCCGCGGCAGGACATGGCTAAAAGCTCATGTTGGCATTAGCGTTAGCCACAGCGCCATTTCTGCAGATAAGGTAAGAAAAACAGAATATTCACTCACGCTGCTGATAAAGAGTTCTGTGATTGTTTTGTGGGGATTCTGTGTGGGTTTTATTTGAGGCTTGTTCCTGAATAAGTTTAGTGGAAACTTGTGACAGTACTGCATGCTTGGATCGGGTCAGAACATCCTGAGACTGTGTTGCAGATTCTGCCTCGTTCTCATTATTGTCAGTAAAAAAGTAAAAAAGTTACGTATTGTTCAGGTGTGAGTCTGTTGTGTACAAACTACACAATGTGCCTCCTGTTGTGTTAACGCTGTCTTTGTGTGTGTGGTTTGCGATGTTGACACTTTGCATATGACGCTGGACTTCTGCATAATTATTTTTGACGGGGTTCTGAATGTGAAATAAAATGATGGCGCAGCCAGAGTACTTTTAAAGTTTTATTCCCAAAATAAAGAATAATAAAGTAATTAAGAATAAAGTATTGAAGTATAAAGTATCGAAGTGGAGTGCTGTACCAAAAACAAACCAGTGATTAACATATTTACAGTATTTACAGAAAAAAACCATATTGCAAGAAGGTCTCCTGGCTTACCTCCTCTGTCCCAGTTCAGACTCACACTGACACTGACAGTAGAGGCTGGCCTAGTCTTAAACCCCTCTGGCTCCTCCTACATGTCAATTAAGTCATAAACTTTTAGTTTCTACATAAACCATGATTACGTTCATAATAACAAAAATATGGATAAATCCACAATCCACTCCTCTACTGTAGAGTTCTCCTCTGCACCTGTAGACTACAGAGGAAAAATAATAAAATACATTTCCCAAAAAAAACCGAAAAATACGATGACGTCACCAATGACGTCAGACGCAGACGTACATGAGAGGCGCTCAAAACAGGAAGCGCGGACTGCGCTCGGTTTGCCGGGTTGGAGTTTGGTGGGGAGACGGATACTGAGTGGAAACTTTATGGAGTGCAAAACTATGGATGGGAATGGTTAACCAGAGGCCTAGTGTGCACCCAAGACAACTGGGATGAATTACTGAACGAGGATGGGAACGGAACGGACTGACAAGGAACAGGAACGACAAACAGGCAAGTGAGTTAGGTATGTATGCATGTGCGTGTGTGCGGGGGAAGTGCGCGCGGACTGGGGAGACTGCCCTGGGCATTGACGGAGGCTGCTCCGTCACATTATCCTTCTCCTCCCGAAGGTTGACAAAGTTTTGGCAGCCTGGACAGGTAGTCGGCTACCAAATTGGATCTGCCAGAACGGTGGCGGACAGCAAACTTGAAGGGCTGCAATGAAAGATACCATCGAGTTAGACGGGCATTGTGGTCTTTCATAGAGTTGATCCATGTGAGGGCTCTATGGTCCGTTTCTAGATCAAACTCTCCACCAAGTAAGTCATATTTTAGACTCTCTAGGGCCCATTTGATGGCTAATCCTTCCTTTTCTTCTACGGAGTAGCGGGATTCTCGGGGTAATAACTTGCGGCTCAGGTACAGGATCGGCTGCTCGGCTCCAGACTCCCCTTGGGTAAGTACAGCTCCCAGACCCACCTCCGAGGCATCTACTTGCACGAGGAACCGACGGTCAAAATCTGGACTGCGGAGAACTGGAGAAGAACAAAGCAGAAATATTAAAAGCTTCTTCACATGCTTCTGTCCATGTTACCGGGTTCTTTTTATCTTTTGTCGTTAGGGCTGTGAGTGGTGCTGCGATTGTGGCAAATTGCGGCACAAACCTCTGATACCATCCAGCGAGACCCAGGAAGGATCGAACCTCCTTCTTGGTTCGAGGACGAGGACACTTCTGGATAGCTTCCACCTTATCCAACTGCGGTCGCACCTCTCCTCTACCGAGCTGGTAACCGAGGTACCGGGTTTCACGGCGAGCCCACTCACATTTGGCCACATTTAGGGTCAAACCAGCTGCCTCGATCTTCCTCAGCACGGCCTTCAAGTGACGCACATGCTCATCCCAGGTTGGGCTGAAAATGACAACGTCATCCAGGTATGCAGCGCTGAACTCTTCACATCCTTGCAGTACACGGTCCATCAGACGCTGGAATGTTGCAGGGGCACCGTGCAAACCGAAGGGCATTACCGTGAACTGGAAAAGTCCTGCTGGCGTTCTGAACGCGGTGTAAGGTCTGCTTGAAGCCTCCAGCGGCACCTGCCAATAACCTTTACACAGGTCCAGGGTTGTGATGTAGGCTGCTGAGCCAATGCGATCGAGGAGATCATCAATCCTCGGCATCGGGTATGCATCAAACTCTGAGATGGCATTGAGTTTCCGGAAATTAATGCAGATCCTCAAGGATCCATTTTTCTTAAAAACAATAACAACTGGACTACACCACTCTGATGTAGACGGCTCGATGACTCCAAGCTCCAGCATGGACTCTACTTCTTGCCGAAGTTGGGCCACCAGCTCGATCAGCGTTGTCCTTCCGGGTTTGGCAGCAAACAGTGAGGGCGTTCCTCTGAAGACTTCAAGGAGATCAGCAAGGTGTGCAACGAGGGGTTCTGAGGGATCGGTGACGATGGGTACACCGGGGTCTTCATCCTCTGCCTCTTCCACCTGCCTCACCAGCAGTGATATCTCTGGCGCTTGGATGGATGGCTCCTTCCACTCTTTCAGGAGATTCACGTGGTAGATCTGCCGGGTCTTCTTTCTGTCAGGCTGATGAATCTCATACGTGACCGGGCCAGTCCTTCGGGTGATTGTGTATGGCCCTTGCCACTTGGTCAACAGCTTGCTGTTGGAGGAGGGAAGTAGTAGGAGAATTTTTTGACCTGGCTGATACGCTCGTTGTCTGGACTGCTGGTCATACCAGGTTTTCTGCTTCTTCTGAGCCTCCTTCAGGTTCTCTTCCGCTTCATCGCGATAGGTTGCCAACCTGTCCCGTATCTGTAAAACATATTGCACAATGCCCTGCTCATTTGAGTTAGTCTCTGGGGCTGTCCAAGCTTTGCTTAAAATATCCATCGGTCCTTGAACGTCCCAGCCATACAACAGCTCAAAAGGGGAGAATCCAGTGGATGCCTGCGGTACCTCTCTATATGCAAACAAAAGGAATGGCAGCCATCTGTCCCAGTCTTTTCCTGTGTCGCTGACAAACTTTTGGAGCATCCTTTTCAGGGTTTGATTGAACCTTTCCACAAGCCCATCAGTTTGAGGGTGATAGGGTGTGGTTCGGAGTGCAGTGATTCCAAGCTGCCTGTGAAACAACTGTAAGAGACGAGATGTAAAGTTAGTCCCTTGGTCCGTCAACACTTCATCTGGAATTCCGACTCTTGAAAACAGTTGAACCATGGCACGAAGAACAGTGGGAGCAGTGATTGTACGGAGTGGGAATGCCTCTGGATATTTGGTTGTATAGTCACAGAGTACAAGAATATATTGGTGACCACGGGCGCTCTTTACTAGCGGGCCAACAATATCCATTGCTATTCTACGAAACGGTGTAGAAATAATGGGCAGTGGATGGAGAAGTGCACGATCAGATTTGCGCGTGGGAGCAGTCTTTTGACATGTCGGACATGTGGTGCAAAACTGTTCAATGTCACGATACATCCCTGGCCAATAGAAACGGGAACTAACACGCAAGTAGGTCTTATGGCGAGCAAAATGTCCAGCCCACGGAAGTGTATGCGCAACATTCAAAATCAGCTGCCTACAAGGTGCAGGGACAACTAGACGTTTCTGAGAATTCTCAGAGATATACAACACATCGTTAATCACAGCAAACTGCTCTTTCCCAGTCACATTAGCTTTAGCATACAGCTTTTCAAAACAGGCTCTCAATGACACATCTTGTTTCTGTAACTCGGCAATATTGTCAGGAACTTTCCACAAGTCATCAACATTCATGCATTGGTCCTTCTGGTCACTTAGCATTAGCTTTTTCTCAAATCTGTGCTGCCGCTTAGACTTTTTGGGACCCTTTGTTCCTCCCTCAAACAAGTCATCATCTAGGTCAGGCAGGGGTTCCACACCAGCCTTGGCCTGAGCCCTAGTAACAACAGGACATGCTACTTTGCACAGATCATTAACATTAGGAACAGTATGACATTGTCCTTTCTGCAGTAGATCTAGAAGAACAGGTAAGTCAGTACCAAGTACTAAGTCCACAGGTAAGTTCTCTACCACAGCAACAGTCATAAGATACGGTTGGTCATCAATCAGGATAGTCACTTCTGCCTTTGGGTATGTATGGCTGTCACCATGCACACACAAAATATCAGTTTTTACAGTGTAGTCCAAACAGTTGACAGACACAAAGTTCTTCTTTAACAGGGAGGTGAAACTGCCACTGTCTAACAGTGCTGTCACCTGTTGTCCATTTACAGTCACAGTCTTAAATGTACGTTTCTTTAGTCCCAGAGGGTTAGGATGCTCACTCTCTTCACGCGGTGCATAGCATGCTCCAGTGAGCTTATCCCTCCGCACTGGACAAACGGACGCTTTATGTCCTTGTGGCTGACAGTAAAAGCAAACAAAAGGCTTACCAGTCGCTGGCTGAGTTGAAGCAGAGCTGAGTTTACCTCTGGTGTCCTGACTTCCCTCCCGTACACGGAAGTTGGGTGCAGACGTCTGCGAAGATCGTGGTGCAGAACTGGTGAACCGAGGAGGTCCTCCTCGACGAGCGTTCTGGTGCTGCAGCGCCAATCTGGCCGCGGTAAGACCATCCTCAGGCTCATGCTCTCGGACCCATGTACGGACGTTGGGCGGTAGTACACGTAGAAGCTGCTCCATGATTACGAGCTCTCCGATTTGCTCCTTGGTGAGCTGGTCGGGACGAACCCATCTCCGGTACAGGCTCTTGAGGCGATGATATGTCTCAGTCGGGGTCTCTCCAGACGGAACTGTGGGACACCGGAACCGATGCCTATAAGTTTCAGGGGAAATGTCAAATTTGGTTAATAGCGCTTCTTTCAAGTCCTTGTAGCAGTGAGCTTCATCTTCATCCATAGCTGTGTAAGCTTCCAATGCTTTTCCAGACAGCAGTGGTACGAGACGGCATGCCCACTCAGACTCTGGCCATCTCCAAGTCTTAGCTATGCGCTCAAACTGCAACAAATAATTTTCAATGTCCTCCCCAATCTGGAATGGAGGAATCTTTGGCTCCAATGCATATGGTCGCCAATCTAAAGGGGGTGCATTGTCCAGACCAGCAGAACCCTGTTCTGACAGCCGGTGCAGTGTGGTCGACTCGCCCTGGGGTCGCCTTGAAGGTCCAGGAGTTGGCAAATCCATCCTTGGACTGCTTGCCCGAGAAGTTCCTGGAGCCCTAGCTCTCGATGCGGGTGAAGGTGACTGCAGCGTCGTATGGAGGTTACGGATCTCTTCAAGCAGACCCTCCTCTCTCCTCTGCTGACCTTGCATGAAATCCTTCATGAGGACCACGAGCTCTGACATAGGTGGCGCAGTGGCACCACCGTGCTCATGGACCGTAGTCTCCACCGCATCATCAGAAGCATACTCCTCTTCACACTTCCTTTGGGAACGAAGTCCTTTTCTTTTTCTTCGGCTCGCCATCCCACTTCTGACACCATATTGTACATAGAGTACTTTTAAAGTTTTATTCCCAAAATAAAGAATAATAAAGTAATTAAGAATAAAGTATTGAAGTATAAAGTATCGAAGAGGAGTGCTGTACCAAAAACAAACCAGTGATTAACATATTTACAGTATTTACAGAAAAAAACCATATTGCAAGAAGGTCTCCTGGCTTACCTCCTCTGTCCCAGTTCAGACTCACACTGACACTGACAGTAGAGGCTGGCCTAGTCTTAAACCCCTCTGACTCCTCCTACATGTCAATTAAGTCATAAACTTTTAGTTTCTACATAAACCATGATTACGTTCATAATAACAAAAATATGGATAAATCCACAATCCACTCCTCTACTGTAGAGTTCTCCTCTGCACCTGTAGACTACAGAGGAAAAATAATAAAATACATTTCCCAAAAAAAACCGAAAAATACGATGACGTCACCAATGACGTCAGACGCAGACGTACGTGAGAGGCGCTCAAAACAGGAAGGGCGGACAGCGCTCGGTTTGCCGGGTTGGAGTTTGGTGGGGAGACGGATACTGAGTGGAAACTTTATGGAGTGCAAAACTATGGATGGGAATGGTTAACCAGAGGCCTAGTGTGCACCCAAGACAACTGGGATGAATTACTGAACGAGGATGGGAACGGAACGGACTGACAAGGAACAGGAACGACAAACAGGCAAGTGAGTTAGGTATGTATGCTAGTGATGTGCTGAGCGGACCGAGTCTTTGAAGCGTGGGCCGAGTAATCTGGGGGCGTTTCTTGTGAAGTGTGGGTCGAGGCGTGTATTGGTCACGTGTGTGGTGACGTTCGAAGCCTCGCGTAGCGGCCGCACCACGTGACGGTTCATATCAATCAATCAAATTTTATTTATAAAGCGCTTTTCATACAAAAAGTGTAACACAAAGTGCTTTACAGTTTAGTTAAAAACAATCCAACATGCCCAGCCCTAAACCCTCCTCCCCACAGACCCCCCAAAATCACATTTATAATTATATATACAATACACACACCCACACACACACACACACACACACACATACACAAGTATAAAGTCATATCAGGTAAAATAGGTAAAACAATAAAAATAAATGGGGCTGGGAGCAGATGTAATCGGCTGAAGAAGCGTCATCCAAGGAGCCATCTGCACCAGGAGCAGAGAGCCGGCTGCAGCCACAGGGAACGACACAGGACCCAGAGGAGAGAGGAGGCCCCAGACCCCCACCGGATCCAAGAGCCAGTCCCCCGAAGCCACAGCAGACCCCAGCTCTCAGTGCAGAGGGCTCCTCCAGAGGAAACACTGGGGACACTAAAACAATACAATAATACAATAGAAAGTAGAACAATAGAATGTGAAAATAAAAATATAGTGCTTCATATAGTTCGGAGAGTGCATTGCTTTGACAGGTGCTTTGTGATCCGCGGCTGTACCATAGACTGTATTGGCTGTCCCCGTCTGCCTCTGTGTGCGTACGTGTGTGTGCGTGATGTGGAGCAGTCCTGTACTAAGTATAGAGAAACTACTTCATATGAAATACAATTAAAAACTTTTCACTTTAGTAAAACCTCATATATCAAGGCTTCAAGTTATTAGTAATAATACGCTGGATAATGCATTTCACAACAGCTGTGTGGCGCAGTCGGTATATGACGGACTCCGAAGCAGAAGATATAGCGTTCGAATCCTGGTCTACCCATAATAAATTTTGTGTTGCAAAGTAAATGTATTTATTTATTGGGAATAAATGGTTTGTTGTGTTTAATTAATCCACCTCTTGGTAGTTTTTCCTCCATTAATCACTTTCTGTAGAACTGTATTACTTTGGATGTGTTTGTTGTATCAACACAATTGACTGAAAGACTCAAATAGTTCATAGTTCATGAAGCATCATTTCAAACACAACACGTTAGACCATAGATTGTAAATATACATTTTAACATTAGATCTCACCATTCATTATAAGCACTTAAGAGTTATGTATTTCTTTGTCCACATGATGGCGTAGTGGAGCATGATTCACCTCGAGCCTTCGACTCATGGGCCGAGTAATAGGCTGCGATCCCTCAAGGCTTCATGGGGCTTCATATTGCCATCACTAATGTATGCATGTGCGTGTGTGCGGGGGAAGTGCGCGTGGACTGGGGAGACTGCCCTGGGCATTGACGGAGGCTGTTCCGTCACACTAAAAGATTGTTGTTCGGATTGTTCTTTTACATAACTCTGGTCCTCTGTGGTTCTTTTACATAACTGTGGTCCTCCATGGTTCTTTTACATAACTGTGGTCCTCCATGGTTCCTTCTTCCAACTTGTGATGGTACGGTGAAAGCAACTATATCAGTAGCTCACGTGAAACTAAAACACGATTCTCGCATCCTTTTTGTCCTTTATCCACCGCTGTTTTTCAAGATGGCACATTGACATGGATAGTCCTCCTCTCTCATGGACACTTATAAGTTAAATTCTAAGCCTATGAATACAATTAAAAAAACATAGTGGAGGTTAATTTTCTTAAAAAGGTCACATTTGTTATTAGTTAACATGTTTTTGCATATGGAGCAGCTGTAAAAATTACACAGGGTGGCTTTAATAATTTCACAAACGAAATATTATAGTAGCCTGCCTTTACACTTAAAGAACTTCTCATCCTTGCTCATCGAGGCTTACGTCACTCGGACAGGCGGGGGGGCGTGTCTAGGCTGTGATTGACACTTGACATCAGCATTGGCTGTGACAGAGATGGAGAGTGATCACACACGCCAGCTCTGTAGCTCTGTGCGGTCTTAGGAGGTGGAGGACTTCTCTCCACCGTCCTCACCGGAGGTTGAGAGAGAGAAGACAGACGGCGGCCCTCAACCCTATCAATTTGAGGCTCGCGAACTAGTGGGCACGACCCATGGCTCTATAATAAGTCTGTGGCAGCAGACCGCCACAGAATAGGGTCTGTTTCTGAATTATATAGATTCGAGTGGAATAAAAAGTACGAAGTACTTGTCACAAGTCTTGAAGAGCAATCATGTAGGGATCCAGACCCTGAAACGCTAACCTGTCTGAATCGAACCTTTGACAAGAGTGGCCATTTATGTAGCTAGCTTTCCCATATTCCCATGCAGTAACCCCTACGGTGCTTTGCTTGACAGTTTTGTCAGTACATTTTATTTATGAACCCAGACCAAGATAAACTATATGTTGTGGGACTATATACAGTGTCTTGCAAAAGTATTCGGCACCCTTGAACCTTTCAACATTTCGCCACATTTCAGGCTTCAAACATAAAGATATAAAAATTAATTTTTTTGTCAAGAATCAACAAGTGGGACACAATCGTGAAGTGGAACGAAATTTATAGGATAATTTAAACTTTTTTAACAAATAAAAAACTGAAAAGTGGGGCGTGCAATATTATTCGGCCCCCTTGCGCTAATACTTTGTAGCGCCACCTTTTGCTGCAATTACAGCTGCAAGTCGCTTGGGGTATGTCTATCAGTTTTGCACATCGAGAGACTGGAATTCTTGCCCATTCTTCCTTGCAAAACAGCTTGAGCTCAGTGAGGTTGGATGGAGAGCGTTTGTGAACAGCAGTCTTCAGCTATTTCCACAGATTCTCGATTGGATTCAGGTCTGGACTTTGACTTGGCCATTCTAACACCTGGATACGTCTATTTGTGAACCATTCCATTGTAGATTTGGCTTTATGTTTTGGATCATTGTCCTGTTGGAAGATAAATCTCCGTCCCAGTCTCAAGTCTTTTGCAGACTCCAACCGGTTTTCTTCCAGTATGGTCCTGTATTTGGCTCCATCCATCTTCCCATCAATTTTAGCCATCTTCCCTGTCCCTGCTGAAGAAAAGCAGGCCCAAACCATGATGCTGCCACCACCATGTTTGACAGTGGGGATGGTGTGTTCAGGGTGATGAGCTGTGTTGCTTTTACGCCAAACATATTGTTTTGCATTGTGGCCAAAAAGTTCAATTTTGGTTTCATCTGACCAGAGCACCTTCTTCCACATGTTTGGTGTGTCTCCCAGGTGGCTTGTGGCAAACTTTAAACAAGACTTTTTATGGATATCTTTGCGAAATGGCTTTCTTCTTGCCACTCTTCCATAAAGCCCAGATTTGTGCAGTGCACGACTGATTGTTGTCCTATGGACAGACTCTCCCACCTCAGCTGCAGTTATCTGCAGTTCATCCAGAGTGATCATGGGCCTCTTGGCTGCATCTCTGATCAGTCTTCTCCTTGTTTGAGATGAAAGTTTGGAGGGACAGCCGGGTCTTGGTAGATTTGCAGTGGTTCGATACTCCTTCCATTTCAATATAATTGCTTGCACAGTGCTCCTTGAGATGTTTAAAGCTTGGGAAATCTTTTTGTATCCAAATCCGGCTTTAAACTTCTCCACAACAGTATCTCGGACCTGGCTGGTGTGTTCCTTTGTCTTCATGGTTCACTCTGCGCTTTAAACAGAACCCTGAGACTATCAAAGAGCAGGTGCATTTATACGGAGACTTGATTACACACTCAGTCATTTAGGACAACATTGGATCATTCAAAGATCCTCACTGAACTTCTGGAGTGAGTTTGCTGCACTGAAAGTAAAGGGGCCAAATAATATTGCACGCCCCACTTTTCAGTTTTTTATTTGTTAAAAAGTTTAAATCATCCAATAAATTTTGTTCCACTTCACGATTGTGTCTTACTTGTTGTTGATTCATGACAAAAAATTAAAATATTATATATTTATGTTTGAAGCCTGAAATGTGGCGAAATGTTGAAAAGTTCAAGGGGGCCGAATACTTTCGCAAGACACTGTATATTCTAAACTCTGCCACAATAACCTGCGGCCACTACACCTCCTTGTCCCCAAGGGAAAACGTGTGCTGCATAGAAACCCCGAAGGCATTTTAGATAGAAATGATACCCCAATGTGCACAAAAGAGACAGTAATTTAAGTCTGTGACCTCCCGTTACTTACGTTGGCAAT